AAATATAACAGGTCCTTGTCTACTTTGCAAAGAAAATAGGAGACGTTGTGTGGCACTGCCTGTGAACCTGGGCATGCCTCTTGGGATTTGTACCAGTTGTGCTGGTGTCCTGGGACCGCCAAGGGACGTTGTACCTCATACCACTACTGTCTGCTGTCCAAAGGACTTGATACAGACTACACTTGGATCTTCACGGTGTCCCTTTCACCTTGGGATTGTGCTTTCTGACACACTGCTAGGACTTTGCAGTAGGCTGTGTGTGCACTGACTTTGGGAGGACTGACTGTCCTGATGGGCACAGGGACATGCACATGGGAAGCCAAGTACCCCTGGGCAGTACCTTCAGCAGTAACCAAGGAGCCTGCTCTGCTTATGCTTACCTGGTGCTTCTCCACATCATCTGAAATCTTCAGAGGATCTTCCTATTTAGGTGTTAGTACAAACACAACAATTAAAATTGCCAAAAAAAATCCTAGAAATGAAGTGGAGGGAGTTAAAAGTGCAGAATGTGAACAAGACTCCTGCAGTTGTGGAAGACTAAGGGGTAGGAGAAAGGGCAAGAAGAAGTGACTAATGGGCAGTAAAACTGGGAGAAATTAAAAGCAGCTTTAAATACATCAGAAGCTAAGAGTCCTAAAAGCACAGTCAAATACTGATGCCTGGAACTGGGGGAATGTCAAGTATTTCTTTTCTGTAGCAGGCATAAAACCTAGATGATGGTGCTATTTACAGCAGCAGTGTAGTGTTTTCTCTTGTAGCAGTACCTTGGGAAATTACCAACCAGCAGCTACTACAGCAGTACTTTTAAGATTGTGGTTCTGACTAAGTTTTGTCCAGGGTTTTTAAAAGGGCTGGCCAAGCAATCATCTCTGGCCCCAAATGCTATTTTTTTTAATTAATTATTTTTTAAAGTATCCGTAGACTGAAAAAAATACTGTGTTAGACATGAACAGGTAAGCTAATATGAAGTCTAATCTGGGTAAACTAGAATACTAGGCTACCTGAAGTCTGTTGGATTCCAGTAAAATAATGTAATAGCTGATAAGGATTGGTTTGGTAATGATTTATGGGAAGTTAATTGTAATAATAAATCTGTACTGACTTTTTTTAGAAAGAGGTCTTTTCTAATATAGCGTGGCCTTCTAATGCTGGTGTAATTTTGCTTGGAAGAGGTAAAAGTGTTGCTATGTCTTGCTTGTTTAATGCGCTGAAACTGTGCATTAAAGGTGATGGGAATTCGCAGCTGGAATGATTCAATGTGACCATTGTTGGAGCAGGTTCAGAGGAGTGCCATGAAAGTGGTCCGAGTGGTGGAACACCTCTCTTACGAGGAGTGGGCAAGAGAGTTGGGATTGTCCAGCCTGGACAAGAGAAGGCTCAAGGGAGACCTTACTGCAGCCTTTCAGTACTTAAAGGGGGCTTGTGAGAAAGATGGGGGCAGACTAAGCGGGCACCTAGTCACAGAGCAAGGAGGAGGGGCTGTGTGGTGGCCTGGGAGCTGTTGCAGGAGCTAGGACTCTTGCTATGGCACAGCAGTTCACTGAACACAAAAGCCCAGCTGGGTGGCCAGAAAGTAAATGCAGTACCTGGAGACAAACATGGGAATACTGAGAAGGGGCAGGGAGGGTGTTATCTCAGTGCAAGGTGCTGCTCCTGTCAGTGCAGGAGTTCTGTGGCGGGAGCTGCACAGGAATGTTGCTGATAAGTTGGAAGGAGTGCAGGGAGGACCAGGAGAGGGGAAGGCTGCAAAATGTGCCATACAGTAAAACCAGGAGCTCTGCATGTAAAATAAACACTGGATTTATACTTCTTTTCTCTCTCTTTCTTTCTTTTTTTGTTGTTGGAGATAACCAGTTTAACGAGTTCACTGAAGGAAGCACAGTGGCCTGTCTTGCATGGGTCAGACTGCACAATTGCAGGGTCTCTCTGGCTTTGTAACAGAGGAGTCTCCACGAGGGAAAGGTGGGAAAGGAAAAGCCATTGTCTCTTCAGAGACAGTTGTCTGCATCTCTTCCTACTGGGGCTTGTGAGCGTTTTAACTCCAAGGTGCCCAGGCTTCCAAAATGGATGGGTTTTCTCACTGGAGGAATCTGCCCCACAGACATCATCCACCTCCTGTGTCAGTGCAGGCTCCACACCAGCTCCGGAGCACCACCCGTCTCCTCTCCATTTTTAATGTGTTCCCCCTTCCCCAGCTGCTGCTTCTTCTCTCCTGAGCTCCTTTACTACAGACTTTTCAGGAATGACTTTTCCTTCTCCTCTGGGAAGAACAGGTAGCCCCTGCCTGCAGCACCAGCTGGTGCATGGGGACAGGACTGGAGAGCACAGCCTGCCAAAATACTGAGTCCCTCCTTGCCCTTAATATCACTTTCCCTCTGATTGGCTGTGGTTATTCTGAAAGGAAATTTGTCTTGTTTTGGGCATCCTGTAAAAGCTGAAAAGCGAGTGCATATGTTTGCAAGTCTCTACTTGTACTTATGCTAAGGCATTGCTTTCAGAGCACTGTATGAATATTGCTGTGCTAGTTTGGTTTGGTGGGGTTTTGGTAGCGGGGAAAGGCCCCAGGGGTGGCTCCTATAAGAAGCTGAGAAGCTGCCCCTGCTCCAAACCCAGCCAAGGAGCCATTAGAGGGACAGTAGATGTGCCTCTGTAATTAACATACGAAAGAACTAAGAAAAAACCTGAGCAGAGCGAGCAGTTAGAAAAGAGATGAGCTGGAGAGGTGAAAGGCAGTGCTGGGGTGAAGATCCTGGTGGTTAGTGAGGAAGAAGGGGAAGAAGGTGCCCAAGCAGAAATTGCCCTGCAGCCTATGGCGAGATGGCAGCTGTCCCCTGGACTCATGAAGGAACGTGGTGGAACATTCCCTGAAGGCGCCAGGAGGGGTGAACTTGGCCAGTGGGCTTGGATTTTGCTGCCAGTGGACTCTGATGATGCAGCCGTGGAAGACCCCGGGCCAGGGGAGTTTGTTCCCGAAGCAGCCCCTGACTCTGTGGGAAGCTCAGGCTGGAGCAGCTCCGGACCTCATGGGAACGACTCAGGAAGGAGAGGTTCCTGGAGGACTCTCTCCCATGGAAGGGATTCCCCATAGGGAAGCAGGGAAGGACTGTAAGGAATCCTTCCTGAGGAGGAAGGAGCAGCAGGAACCACCAGCCTGTGAAGTGACTC